GGAGGAGGAGAGGAGGAGGAGGAGGAGGAGGAGGAGGAGGAGGAAGAAGAAGAAGAAGAACAAAAAAACAGAAGAAGACGAAGACGAAGCAGAATAAGACGAAGAAGAAGGGGAGGAGGAGGAGGAGGAGGAGGAGGGGGAGGGGGAGGGGGAGTGGGAGGAGGAGGAGGAGGAGGTGGAGGAGGATCAGGAGGTGGAAGAGGAGGAGAGGGCGGAGGAGGAGGAGGAGGAGGTGCCCCTGGGATTTTGGGCGCCCCATTCCAGCTGAGACCCACGCGTGGCCGCGGCACGCGATCGGAGGCCAGCACGCCTCCGCGCTCGCGCAGCCGCCATCCCGCCTGGCACAGGCGACGACGGCGACATCGCGGAGTCGCCCGCATCATCGTGCGCCTTGCAGCGGCCAGGGGGCTGCTCGCGCAACATCACAGTGCGCAGCGACGACCGCCACAAGAAGAGACCATGGCAAACAGGGCCCCAGGATGGACATGCGCGTGCGGGCTGCACGTTGCAGGGTGGGCCTGGTCATGCTCATCGTGTGGAGGATCATTCAACCAGAGGCGCAGGCCCAGCAGGAGTTCCTCCCGCAAGCGCGGCCTGAGTGCTCACAAGGATGTCCGCCAAGGCCCGCCCTGGCAGCAGGCCGCGACGACATCGCCACGATGGTTCATCATAAGGACACCATCACGACCATGGCATAGAGAAGTTTGCACGCAAATTGGTCGAAAGAGTGGCCCCATCATTGAAACAGTATGCGGAGGCTCATCCAGCTTGGGCGGAGTGGATGCCGCCGACGGACCACAAGCAGCACAATCAGTTCCGAGACCGAGTACGCACCCGCCTGCTGGCCCTCGCGCACCTCGCGGTGCAGGCAGCACGAGCCCGCAAACCAGACGAAGAGCTCAAAGAAGATATGACGATGTTCAAGTACTCGGTAGACCAGTTGAAGCCTCTCAGCGCAGCCAAAGCAGAGCACGTGGCGCGCCTGGCTACCAAGATGGAAGATTTGAAGAACACCAAGGCTCGCATCGCGCTGTCAGAGGATCAGGCGGGCGAGATCAGCTACGACATCGACGACGCGAGGAAGGCGTTCGCAGAAGTGGAGCGCAGAATCGCAGAGGAGCTAGCGGACATACTTCCCCAGCCATGGGGAAACACATGGCATGGCATTGGATCCGCCGCCGCGCATCAACGTGAACACCTCCGCAGCAGCCAGCACTGACACCAGCGAGCAGCTCGCGGAGCTTCAGGCGTTCAACATGCAAGGCGCCACAGCGCATGCGCAGTTGCAATACCAGAACCAGCAGGCGATGTACCAGATGCAGCAGATGCAGACGCAGATGCAGGCCTCGGGCATGGCGCGCCCCCCAGCGGGGCCCTTCCCGACGCCTGCGCCGCACCGAACGCCACCGGTGCCAGGGCCCCCGCCGCCCACGCCCGCGGGGGGGGTCCCCTGCCGCCGCGGCCCCCGCTGCAGGGGCACGCGACGATGGCGGCGCCAACGGCAGCGCCAGAGGTCCCATTGAGGGTGCTCAGCCCGAGGTCAGCAGCGGCAGCAATCGGCCTGGTGGACGTGGGGAAGGCAGCAGCATAGGCGATTGCACATGTTGTCAAGGGCCACGCAAACGCGCAGCCACACCAGACGCAGAAGCGGGTCCAGTGGGAGATGGCGGGTGCCACGCCACAGGCGGCCGCGGGAGGAGCACAGCCAACGGCTGCCGCTCCGACGCCGTCGGCTCCCACGCCGCATGTTCTGGCAGCGGCAGCAGCGAAGGGAACGGTCGCGACTACAGCGCTGACCCCATGGGTCGACCATGCCCTCTTGGCCCCCACACAGAATGCAGGACCGACTCAAGAGTCGCCGCGGCTCCCAGGCCCCTCCGCGGAGCAGTTCAACTTGCTTGCCGAACAGTTCGAGAGGGCAGAGGGCAAGGGCAAGCAGGATTCCAAGCACCAGCCGATGGGGGGCGAAAGTCTGATGCAGAGGACGTCGACCCCAACCCCGCAGCCCACATGCACATGCAGCTCCCGCCGTAGTAGACGACGACAAGAGCGAGACCAGACACTGCAGTCAAGTCGAACAGTGTGACGGGCACCTGTTCACGGCAGAGGCTACAATATCTGCCTGAGAGGCCGCGCAACCTACCTGTCCTGCTCCGGTGGGAAATAGAGGTTGCAGCAATGCCTAATAGGAGCTCGATTTCGCCATTTCGGATAATTCGAGCAAGTTTCAAATTGGCTGGACTACGCCAACAAATTTTGGACACATCACTTCGCCTCATGGCATGGTACATGACTTCTATACATGCAATGGCCGCATCGAGACTGATATGCGCATCTACGTCGACGCGTGGAACAGCTACACTTCTATTTGGTCAGTCGAACAAGCCCGTGACGATTGGCTTGCCTGGCGCGCACCTGCAGTCAGAGCCGACCCGGCGCGCACATCTATGCTAACATGGGCACAATGCGACGCAGCAGCCAAGGTCTCTGCCAAGGTGCGTGGCGCAGTTGGGGAGTGGCCCGCCACAGTTACCAGCAGAGGATCACGGCACTGTTCCAGCAGGACATCAACAGATGGGCAGCTCACATGCTAGAGCAGCAAGCGCGCCTTAGACGCATTCGATTTGACACCTTCTGAGCCAGCAAGTACACTCAACCAAAGGGAACGAGAACAATGTTGTCATCATCGACCGCCTGGAAAGCCTACCACTGAACAGCATCAGCAGGGCCATGCAAGGAAGGGCGCTACCGCGCCCTGCGCCTGAAGCAGCTCAACAGGCCCCAGCTCAGGCGACGTCTTCAGCCAGTGCGTTCACAGGACAAGTCATTCCACAGGCGCCGGCTGATCTAGCAGCCACACCTGCAGATGTTACACATGCTGCGCAACAGCTTGGTTTTGGGAGATTCGCCACGCGCGAGCAAGTGGAGCAGCATGTGGAGGGCCAAGATAGTGACTCCACCAGCCATCTCCAACTACGATTGGCTCCAATCGCGCGTGATCAACCTTATCAGCAGTTGTTATGGAACCCACCTGTCGCAAAGCCTGAACCTGCTGAGCAACGAGCGGGAAGGCAAGCAATACGTGGGATTTGCAGCGCAGTTTCGAACAGAGCAGTTCCATGCGTCATTGATAACTACCTCTTCAGTGACAACTATGCCCGACGGGATTGGGCGCTCTACTGTGTATCCTACCTCATTCAGATCCTCAGGAACACACGTGCGTTCCATGTTCTGTATAGCAGCTTCGAGGAGCTCGTCGACGACGCACGGGACATTTGCCGCCTTGTCTGGACGAGGAACACAGTCAGAAGGCGGAGGTGTAGCCACTCCATGGCAGTGCTGGGCCAAAATAATTCCCAGGAGTGGTGGAAAGAAGTACGACTTGCCCCGGACAACCTCCGTGCAGCGCGCGATCAGCTCGACCGCGCTGTTGGAGGCCCTGGGATCGACGCAGTTAGCCGCACGGCGCAACATGCAGTCCCACCTGCCTTTGCGCCTCACACTCCACCCCCAGAAGAGGATCACTTTCCTGCACGGCCAAATGATGATGAGGGGGCACAAGGCTCACCGCTGGAGACGGGGACGCATGACCATGCATCCGCAGTGGAGGAGGAGCAGCAACATGAACAGCCACCCCCTGGTGATCAGAGCTTCTTCAACGGCATGTTTATCACCGGCGGCCACGGGGCCTTGTGCAACCTCAAGGCACCCAAGGAACCCCTCCAGATCAAGGGCGCCCACCTCAGGTGCCTGAAGGTCTGAGGCCCTGCCTCGGAGCCCCCAGAGTGGTGCGCGCAGGAGAAGCCGTGCTGCACGCAGTGTCATCTCAACCCGCGGGGACACAGCTCGACGCAGATTGCATCATGGTTGGCACTGGCGCGAGGTCCCCTTAGACCCGTGATGAACCCGACATTGCTGCCGCCTCGCGCGTCGACCCCTTCTTTCGAGTCCTTAGGCATCATGTCAACCAATGGCCGCGCTACCTCAGCGCCCTCTTCTTTGCGAACGCCGCCAGCCAAGGCGGCATTTGTTCCGCTTTGCTGCGCAATGCGCCACATCAGGACAGCAGCTCGACGGACAGATTTTCACTAGGGCTGGCATTGCGCCGCGGACCCCGTGGGACCTCCAGGGACAAGAAGGTGCGGCAGCCACGCGCTTGGCCGCGCATCGCTTTGCATTGCAAGCTTTTCCCGATGCCACCGGCAGTTTGCCCGGTCTTACAGCAGCGCCGCCTAGCGATGTTTTTGCAGTCGAAGGCCCCACTTGGCTTGCACGGCCCCCCCTCCCTCATGTGCTCCTTGGGGACGCGGGCGCCCCGGGCGCTTCCGGGGCCTCCCGCGCGGGGCCAGGGAGGGCTACGAATGTCAAACGAGTCAGTTTTTGTTGCGAGGGGGATCAAGCCAGCGCCAGCACTCAGGACACCGAGGGGTGCCAGAGTCGCAGTGCTGGGACCTATGGCCCCTCAGCAGGCGAAGGGGCAGGCGGCAGTGCAGTGTTCTCGCCTCACATGACCTCCTATTCGCAGACTGCGAGCGAATACATGGATCGATCCGAGCCTTCATCCTCGCCCCCCGAGGCCTCGTTCAGGTCCCCTGAGACGGAGCTGTCCCCTCGCTCGCCTGCCCCTCCGCAGTCGACGTCTGGTGTGAGTTCCGGTCAGCGACAGGTCGTCACCTTTGAAGGCTGTACCAATGCCTTTCAGTGTCTGCAGCAGAGTGAGCAATGCCACCGCCTTCGCTTGTTTGAATCCCTCCGAGGCGTCCCACCAGTCACGTTACGAGAATTCAGCAGATGCCCACCGCTGCATGTGCCGACACAATCATGCAGCAAGAGGGCGTATTACACTGATGGGTCATTGACAGATGGTAAGTGCGATGCGGCGGCTTGGGCCTTTGCGCTGTTGAGAATACGGACAGGGGTAGAAGCTATCAAGGATATGGCAACGGGAGACTTACTCCAACCTTCCGCATCCCCCCCCCCCCAGCTCGGGCTGGCACCACCCCCACCGATTGCGAGCATGCTGCCATATGCTTTAGCCATGCTGCGTGCGATGGGGGAGGGTGCTCCAGAACCAGCTGATATCTTTAGCGACTCAGAAGTTGCCGTTAAGACTCCCCGTCGAGAGTATGCCCCCCTCCAGACGATCAAGTGGCGCTAGTCTCGCTTATCTTGTTGGATGCTTTGTGCTCAAGGCGCAATGTTACCATCACTCGCATCAAGGGACATAACAACCATCCTTGGAACTCTCTCGCTGACTTTGTTGCCTCGATCATGCCACCGTGCCCCCCCCGCTGCTTGGTGCCAGGCCACATGCTATCGCCCTGACAGGCAGTGGGGGGCTCCAGTATGCGTCGCCAGAAGTTAGCGCCTCCTACCCCCTGGTGTCAAGAAACCTGTGGGAGGTGCCAGAAGTGTGCACGCACGCGTCTTTGGACGACTTCAGCGGCGTGACTCCCCCCCCCCCCCGATGGCAGTGAGAAGCGGGAAATCAAATTCGCTATCGCGGTCGCTGCTCAGTTTCATGTCCGGTCTGCCTCCGAACGGGTTGCTCCAGGCCTGCTCGGCAAACGTCGCGTCGCCAGGAACCAGGTCCTTTGTCACCAACTCCAGGAAGCGGGGGCGCATCTTGTTGGCCTCCAGGAATCTTGGAACAAGCAGGGCGTTCGCAGGGTGGGGGATTGTTATGCGTTATCCAGCGGCCATGCCGAAAACGGCTTTGGAGTCGAACTCTGGGTCAATTTAGGGCTTCCCGTTGGCCTGGGGGGCCAGCAAGAAATCAAGGTTGCCCCCGCAGACGTTCGTCTCATTCACGCCGACCCCCGCATGCTGCTTGCCATTGTCAATATTGGGGGGGGGGGGGGGGGTATCCGCTCACCGTTCTTGTTGTGCACGCCCTTCATATCAAGCTCGGGAAACAGACCGTCACTGAGCGGCGGGCACGCTGTCAACGTTTGATTGACAAATGGAGCCCGCAGATCATCATGATTGACGCCAGCGCCCATGTTGGGTCCATCGTCAGCGATTGGATCGGCCCCGCGGGCCCCGCCGAAATTCAGGATTGCCCGGGGGATTGTCTTCGCCAGTTGCGCCCCGAATCTGACCTTATTGCCGTCAACGCCCACCTCGGCACCAGAGAGGATCATGCGCACGTGGACAGTGAATGAGGCAACCATCGCAATGCCTTCGCGTTCAGGTCGACCACGAGTTCGACCGACTCCCGGCCGCCACTGACCATCTGCCCTTGTGCGCCACTATGGCTTGGCCAGTGCGAACTAGTCAGGGCCCCCCCCCCCCCCCCCCCCCCCCCCCCCCCCCACACCCCCCCGACTCGACAAAAGAAATGGTGGGTGAGCCCATGGCCGTTCAAATCTTCAAGGACCATTTGAAGGCCATTCCCAGCGCCCCTTGGAATGCCCTCTGAAACCAACATGTCACGTCCATCACGGATGGCGTGAATGACGCGGCGGTGGCTGCTTTCACGGCCGACCCCATTCGCCCTCGTAAGCCCCACATCTCAGGTGAAACGCCCACGCTGGTCCGAGTTAGGAAGGGGTGTTCTTCGGGTGCTTCGCAAATGCAGGGGGAGGGGAGGGATCCTTGGAAGCGAATCACATTCTTCGATTCACTAGCAGATGCATGAGCGGCGATCTGCGACATGAGGTGTCAAACTACTCCCCGTTGCGCTGGCGCACCGCGCGGCATGACATGCGTTCTCACTTAGGTCGCTTCAGAGCTGGCGCAGTCCATATGTTTCAGGCAACTGCTGCCCTAGTGCAGTTTGCTTGCGTCGCAGAGGCTCGCATTGCCGATATTATTGAAGAAGACGAGACAGCTTTTCTGGGCCAGCAGGCCGATAGCATCAGAGCGGCGGCTGGTGGCCATCAGTCAATTGAGGAATGGCAAGGAGTTAACACCCTGCTTCGGTTTGGAGGGAGAGGGGCCCGCTACCCGTTGGTTGCTCCCCTTGTGT